CAATAATCCTTTTTTAACTTTCCATTCACAATTTATTGTTAATACCTAGATTCCACATCTCATTATACTATTCTTACAACATCAATTGATTATTTTACCAATTCTTTACAAATATCAATGCAGCTACTGTTAACATAATAGCAATTAGTTCCATTTTTTCTCCTATCTAATTGACTGTTGCCAAATATATTTAACAGTGCTAACACTGGACATCTTTGCATATCTGTCCCTAGAATTTCTTTAACCACATTAAATATAATCATCCATTCCTTCTGTCTTTCTTCACATGTCCACATATGACAATATGTTCCCTTTTCTTTCGTATATCTCCAACATACAGTATATAGATGATACCTCTTTGTTCAATGTATTCAATTTCATTGCTGTTAAATATCATATCCATAATTTCTTCTTCAGGTTATCTGGAAAAACTGACACATTTCATGGAATTATGTAGAGCCATGTTAATAACAGAAGGCTAGCTTTTATCACTGCGTAATTCCACCACATGTGTCAATAGGGAAATCTTTGGACTCAATATTTTCTTGGATTTCTTCCAACATTGCAAAATATTATTGAAAATCTATGTTTTTAATAATATCCGTTAAGTTTTCCTAATTTACATGGAAGATAACCTCAGAAGGTCCAATATTAAAATAATGAATTTCCAATTGCAACATAGACAAGATCTCAAAAAGAGGTTATAGCTTGGGTTAATTCCATAATGGGCACATAACATTTGCTTGAAACAGACATAGAAAGAGCACATTTTATGGGTAACACAAAAAGTCTCAGAACAAGACCAGTGGTGGTGAATTTTTTGAATTACACAAAAAAAGAACAATTCATCAGAGTAATTAAACAAAAACAAGACCAGCTAGTCTATCGGGACAATAAGATACAGATTTTCCAGGATTTATGCAATGAATCTGTGAAATGGAGATCTATGAAGCCTGTGACAGCAGTTTTGAAACGGATAATTTAACCAGATGAGTTTTAGAAAAGAAAAAAAATAAAAACAATGGTTTTATCATTAGACATATTTAACGCTTTTGATTGTGTTGAATGGCCAACATTAAAACTTCTTATAAGGGGTTGGGGATTTGGCAAAAAATTTAGAGGGGTTATAGATCAATTATATTCAGATAATACTTCAGAAGTAATAGTTAATGATGGTTTAATGGAACTGATTTTTCTAGACAAAAGGTACAAGACAAGGCTGTCCACTTTCACCAATATTGTTTTGTATGGTTATAGAATTATTAGCTAATGCAATAAGAAATGATGAATTAATTAAAGGATTAGGAAAAATGATACAATTAAGATTAATTTGTTTGCTGACGATTCATTGTTGACTATTAAAACCAATCAGAGAGTGTGGACAATATTAAAAAGCACATAGAAAAATTTGGGGAAATAACAGGATTAATTATTAATTGGCAAAAAATCACAAATAATGTTTAATCATAATATACAGGAACAAGAAATGTTTGTTAATAAATATAGTTTTAAAATGTGTAATCATATTAAATATTTAGGTGTAAATAGTCAAAACGACTCAAAAATTAAAGGAGAAAAATTTTAATAAATTAAAAATTATATTAAAGATATACAGCAAGAGTATTCTAAATTGAAATTATCATGGTTTGGGAGAAGTGCTATAATTAAAATACTTTAATGAAAGATACTTTAATGTAGTAAAGAGAAGTACAGTGGTGCCTCGTATAATGAGTGCCCCGTTTAATGACGAATTCGCATAAAGATGGCATTTTTGCCATCGTTTTTGCGAT